TGTGATATGACGTAATTTCGACCATTTCGACTTTTCATTTTGACTTTGACCTCTAAAGTCGAAACATTTCGACTTTTTGGGTTTTCATTTCAACTTCATGTATAGTTGCGTATATACACTGCACTTTCTTTTCAAAACTGGTACCCATAAACCGCGCTCTTCAAAAACTTATCGAATACCTTTGAGCTTTACAACACCATTAACATCTGTAAATGTTATGATATTAGGTGAGCCATCAAGTATTTTACTATTTCGGAGAAGTGGTTGTTTTCCGCCATCTTTCATGTTCATTATTGAAACCACTAATGCATCATCAGCAAATGCATTGTGGTTGCAACTGTTATCGAACATGAAAAGTGAAACTTTTTCCAGATGAGTACGTTCAAATATCAGAATAGCCCGCTCTTTACTTGTTTAACAATATTCTTATTTGTCTACCAACTATTACGATTCGTATCAGGATACATTGTAATGCAAGCTTCAGTATACACTAGTCACTTATCATTAAAAATTAAATCGTTAGTAAAACAATCCTCTTTTGAAAGCCTGAGTTGTCCAATAGACTCACAGAGAAAGTCACTTATGTGAATGCTAAGGCCTTGTGACTTATGACGAAGTCAACTCTCATCTGCTTGACCTCAAGCTTTAACAACATCATCATTTGCATAAAAAACTGACTCATCATGGGTAACAGGAACAATTTTGGAAATACCATGTAAAAGTACGTATAAGACAATCTGATCTAAATTCTTGCTTTTATAAGTAGCCATTCACTTCTGTAATTCTGCCTATTGTTGCAAAAATCAATATCTATCTGCCATTACGTCCTCATGTTCATGACCATCAAAGTAAATATTCTTTGAGTGATCCTTATATTTTCAACCAAACATATACAACTATTCACGTGCAGTTGAATGAGAAATACTTGCCTTTTCTTCTATTTTAATAGCAGGAATAACCTTATTCTCAATGAATTTTACAAAATCAGCAATGTTCAACGTGAATTTATATACACATAAGTATTCAGTAACTCATAATTTAATGTCTTCATGCAAAAGAAGGGACCTTATTTTTGCATATCATTTACATTTAGACGAAACAATTATACCATTATTCAGCCATTGGTTTATCCAAGAGCGGATAAGCCATGCTTGCCATGAATCTTTGTTCAAGCTTTGAGCAAGAATATCACTTGCATCCATTTTTGTGTATCCTTAGTTCTGGGCTAAATGGAGAAATTGACTTATCATCTAAAGCCGCAAATCATCTTTCTTTTTTTAATAAAAAATCCAGTGATTCTAACGTAAATTTATTATCATTATCGCTACTATCACATATATCAAATGTGGGATCATTATTATTTGTATTGTTTGTATTAGACTTAGCAGCTTTATTTGCTAGAAACATTTTAGTGATTTTCTTAGAACCCGAAGCTGCTTTTCTCCAATATGCCCTTTTGTTACGTAATGTTTACTTTGCATTACCAATGTATACTAGTCTATGCAAATCTACAGCCCATGTATGTGACTTTGCATTTTCGACTAGTTGTTGTAGTATACCTGGTTTCTATGCTTGCATTTTATCTGTAATTTCATCACTATCAAAAGATGCTTCCTCACTTTCTGTCCAAAAATGCCAAATCATGATTCATCAAATTCATCAGGTTCAGTATCTGATGGTTCAAGTATTACTTTTTCAGAATTTTTGCTTGTTTCCAACATTTCTTGATGGCTTCTCGGAACTGTCTAGTACGTTTATTTCATTTTGGCATTTTATTAAATTGAGATATAGTTAACGAAAATGATGTAAAATAATGCAAAATATCACGATTTAATTAGTATCATGTGATTAAAATTAGTCACATGCTAGAATTTCGACCAATTAAATTTTGATTTAATATGATAATGATCGACAAGATTTTTAGCAGTGACTTAGCCATTTGATATGACTAAGCCATTTGCATCATATATCAATGAAAACTTAATATTACTTATTCTAAAATAAATAGATTTGTAAAATAGTATCATAATTTCATAAAATTATATTAGAAATAATAACTGATATCAAAAATATATTATTTAAGATAAAATGGATTCAGAATTTATATATCCTATTCTTCAATATATTATCCTGATTAACTTATTTACAAGAAAGATCTGTATAATTCAACTTATTAAATTTGAAAGAGAAATAATTCAAAAAAAACAGATACTTCTAAAATGCTTTAACTATTAGAGAAATAAAAAGATTTTGACTTACTCTAGATTGTAAAGTCATGTTTGAAATTAGTTTCAAGAATACTAAAACTCTCTTTTATAAATATCACCTATCTAAAGAGAATTATATTCTAAATTTAATGATATTATAGTAGTTAATACTAGGGTTTCACAATTCGATTTATATTTGAATATTTGATTTGAAAATCAAATCAAATACAAATTCAAATTTATATTTGATTTGATTTGATCAAATTCAA